GCGCCCACGCGGATCGCCAACGGGGTCCTTTTTGGAACGACGTGGTTTGCCACGTGGCAGATCCCGGTTGGCCGGGACTGCTGACCGGGCCTGCTGACGTGGCTGCCGACGTGGTTTTTTTTTTTTTTTTTCTTCTCGGTCCGGGCGCTACACGTTTCCTCCTTCTCTTACCCGTTCTCCCATTTTCTTTCCTCCTCTGTTTTTCCTTTTTCTTTCTTTTTTTTTTCTTTTCCTTCCTCCTATTTATAGTCCACTTACTATTCATCCTGACCGTCCATCCTATCTCACCATCTACACTCATCCTAGTCGTCCATTCCCTCTCTTCCAAACAACACCGTTCACTCCTCTCCCTCTCCCAAATATATATATATTTATTTATATATTATTATTATTATTATTATTACCATATATATATATATAAATACATTTTTTTTCATCCAAATCTCAGCTACTACATGTGAGCACTACCAAAATGATACGTAAGTATTTACATGAACTTACTGTTTTATTTTAGTTTTTTTGAAAAAAAATTACAAATTATAATTTAGTAAAAATGTGAGTGCCATTTAATTATAAATTAGTTCCATATTCAATTTAAATTAGGTGAGTTTTTGTGATTTATTTTTTAATTTATAAAATGCTAATTGGTTATTATTGAATTTAATATATGAGTAGAATACATCAATTATATGTTAAAGATATAAATTATAATTAATTTTTACATATTAAATTATTAAGTTCTAGAAATTAAACGAAAATATGGATAAATATCAATTATAATTTTCAATGGTTATCAGCCTATTTGATTGAATAAACTGGTACTTTCTATACCTATATATATATATATATAGGTATAAACTCTAAACATTACAGCTGCTTGTAAAAAATTCATCGTAACACTTACAATACATAATTTTATATTATATTTAAAGTCAACGAATTCTAATTATATTTTATTATTTTATAAAAGTATTATGAATTAATAAATTTATTTTAAAATAATTAATTTATTAAAATTATTAATATATTATTATAATTTCTGATTTTAAAAAAATATTAAATAATGATTAAATTCAGATATATAGGTATAAGAAATTCACTGCACGTGTGAAGTCCAGTGAGAGTGATTAACATTAACATCTAATCTGTTCGTGGCTGATTTGCTGGCAAGTTTGTCTCTCTGATTGAAAAATTATTTTATATATCTAATATAATATTTATATTACTATTAAAAAATTAATTTGGATTAGAAAATTTAATTTTATATATATATATTTTTATTATTATTATTATTATTATTTATCCCGTATCAATGTACAAACAAGAAAAAGTACTACAGAAAATTAACTAATTATAATTAAATTTATTAGCTTAAATTTAAATTTTTATTTTTATTTTTTGAATAAACATAATAACTTAATCACCGTCAACACGTCAGTTCTTTTTCTTGGTATATACAAAATTAAATCTTAAATCATTTTTTATTAAAATTAATGATAAAACTTGAGAACAAAAACAAAAACAAAAAAAAAAAAACCCTTAACCCAGTGTTATCTAAATTCTTGAAGGGTATTTTGGTCATATCAGTTGGTAGTTTGACGTTTTACTGGGGTTACAGAGGAGCAAGAACAAAACAAAAAGTAACAGGCAGCGGAAATTTGTGGAAAGAAGACGAAAGACAACTCAAAGAAGAAGGAAGAACAAGCAATATCCTCTTAGGGCTTGTTTGGCTTAGCTTAAGTTAGGTTGGTCATGCATTAAACCTTAAATACCCAATATTTTTATCAGATATTCATTGTTTGTTTTCCAGCTGCAAAGTTCATTATCCCTTTCTCACTCTTTTTTCTTCTTCATTGTAAATTCCTAGTTTTCTTTTATGTAGTGGGTATCAAGCTGTATAAAAATATGAATGAACGTGTGTAATCTCTTGTGGAGAAAATGGAAACTTAAAAAAAATATTTATATTCTTTTTGGTGATATTCTTGGGTTGCTGTAGTTGAAATGCTTTACTTTGCCACTGTCTACGAGCATAGATTCCTTCACTCACTTATTATCTGCACTACAATCTGAAAGCTCTCTTTGGATTTATCATATTTTCTCTGCAATAATGTGCTTTGATCTCTATGTGGATTCTTTCTTCATAAAGAGCTGCTGCTTTTTCTTGGTCCGATTTTTTAGTGCCTTTCACTTTCTGATAATTTATTTATTTGGACGACATGGGGTTATGTATAACTGGTGTGAGTAGGAGAGCTGATGTGGATTGATGGGTTGTGTGTGTATATATATTATTTTCCATTTTTACCCTCTCCCAACGGTTATAAATAGGGATATGGATTTTAATTTTTCTTCATTGCAGAATCTCAGAATAAGCGTTGCAATAGAGGGTCTGAAAGACTCTATAATGAACTACAATAGCTCCATTTTGGGTTCTGGTTAGTCTTTTTATTGCCTTAATTTGCCCTCTCTATGCTTCGTATTAATGGTCGTGCAATAGCTCCATTTTGGGTTCTGGTTAGTCTTTTTATTGCCTTAATTTTTGCCCTCTCTATGCTTCGTATTAATGGTCGTGCCTTTGTCTGAACTCTAAAGGATCTGAGCCTATTTTCTCGAACCTTGTTAACTGTATAATTTCAGGTAGTAGAACTACAAGCAGAACATTTGAATTTGGAAGGACTTATGTCGTGAGGCCAAAAGGGAAGCACCAGGCAACTATAGTTTGGTTACATGGCCTTGGCGATAAGGGCTCAAGGTATTAATGTTATTTTCTGTTAGGATTGAGTTAGCATTTTTTTGGCAGATGAAATTTCAAAGTGAAAACATTTATTATTGCTTTTCATTTACATTCCTTGGTGTGAAGAATTTGGGTTTAGCTGTCTGATTAATAGAACAAAAAGTCTTAATCTAGTCTACACTCCAATTTTATCTGTCAAGTTCTGCTTTCTAAATTGGCTTCAGCTTCCCTAGCGTGTGAATGGAAATTCAGCTCAGAAGATTTAAAATTTAGATAGTAATTTAATGAATAATCACCATTGCTTTTATTCCTTGTTTATTCTGCCAAGGGGTATTTTTGAAATTTGATTATCTTCTCTCTGCCTTTGAGTATATTCTGTGTGGGAATGGTGGACTTATTTTGTCCTAAACATAAAAAACAAAGGGGAATTGGAGAATGTCAATATCTTGCCCTGTACTGGTGGAAGAACTTTATGTTTACTAATCCTATTGAGTTATGTACCTTTCTAGAAGATTCGCACAATGACTGACTTGATTGGAGAAGGAAATTGCGCTGTAAACTAAATAAAACCATGGCTAGCTGTCATTTTATTTCAACCTTGGATATTGACACTGAGCTATGTATATGTTGGAGGAGCCTCAGATTCAGAAGCTGTCTAAATGCCATAATTTAGAATAGGGGACCACATTTTCTCAGCAGCCTTCTGTTGTCCTTTGTATTTGGAGACATGGTATATTATGCGTAAAAGATATAAAAATGCATGCAAAATTACTTCTGATTTCTCTAAATTATTATCAGGCAAATGAGACAATTATTGTATTGTCTTCTACCATCATGTGCTAATACCTGACCTTAATATGGAGAGGTGGTCCCAAAGTTTTTGTTCTTTTCTTCCTTTGATTATTCGTAAGAAGGGACTAAACTCGAGTCTAAACCAAGTCGAAAGATGCATCTATAACGAGGCTAAGCTTACGAGTGTGACTGTGCGAGATGGTCCCAAAGCTTGATGCATTAAATTGGTGTTTCTCAATTATGTTATAAAAATTCATATTCTCATGGTGATCCAGTCCTGCTTTATTGTTTCAAAATGCATTGATAAGCCTTTTTAAGCATATATGATTATCATTTGTCAGTCCTAAGGTGGACTTTCACCCTTTTTTCCTTTGTTTTGCAGCTGGTCCCCCCTCTTGGAAACACTGCCTCTTCCAAATGTAAGGATTTTTTTCATTTTAAAATATTTCAGTTGCTTCTGTATGTGAATAGAATGCAAAATGCATCACAGGTTGCACTAAATCTTTATTCATAGGAGAAAATCTCATTTTGCCAATTTTTTCTTCTGCAGATTAAATGGATATGCCCAACTGCTCCTACTAGGCCAGTAGCAATATTTGGGGGATATCCTTGCACTGCTTGTAAGATTTTTATTGCTTTCAAGAGCTGTTTTGTTTGAGATCTTTCAATCAAAATCTTATTGTTGTTCTTTTGAAAAAAAAAAAAATCAGATTGTTTGTAGTTCTGGTTAATTTACATTATTGAAATCAGGTTGTACCGATAGATTTTTTTAATTATGTCAGGGTTTGATGCTGGGGATCTTACAGAAGATGCGCCAGATGATGTGGAAGGCTTAGATGCTTCTGCTGCTCATATTGCCAATCTATTGTCAACAGAGCCAGCCGACAGTATGGTTTTTCTTCTACACATGTATATGCACTAATGAACTTTTTGGTGTAAAGTCATAATAATTTTGATCAAACGTGGAGGAGAATTAAGTTTATATGTTAACTTTTTTTTATTTAATTGGTAATACGTTATTGACCAACAAATCTTTGATAGTCTAAGAGAATTCTTTGCAGATCTCCAAATATTTTTCTGCTAATCCTTGATTCTTTTATGTCTTTCTAAAGATGCTTTGCTAAACTGGTGTTTACTTATAGTTAGACTTTCATTTTGGGAGCTTTCCAAGCAAATGGAAGCTTGGCATACATTTTTTTCTTAGTGAGTTACTCAATTCCTTCTAAAAATGAATTTCTGCTTACTGTGCAGTTGTTTGTTCTAAACTTATATGACAAAGATGCAGACCCACATGTCCATTATAACAGTTAGATCTCACGAATATGACTTCTGTTTGCGGATCATAAATATTTTCATAGCAATTGATTGTACAGTAAATAATTGACTAAAAAGCTACAGTTTCTTTATAACTCCTTTAACCACATTACTGTTTTTGCAGTCAAACTTGGCATAGGAGGCTTTAGTATGGGTGCTGCAACTGCTCTCTACTCTGCGACATGCCGCATATTAGGACATTATGGGAATGGAAACCTGTATCCAGTTGCCCTAGATGCAATTGTCGGTTTGGGTGGCTGGCTTCCATGTTCAAGGTTTGGCTTCTACCATATATGTACAGAAGTTCAACTTCTGCACGGAAATGCTTCATGTGCTTTATGGTTGATCAATTTAACTCATATTAGCGGCTCTTTTCCCAGGACCTTGAGGAACCGAATGGATAAGTCGCTTGAAGCTGCAAGGCGTGCAGCATCATTGCCCATTTTGCTCTGCCATGGATCAGGTGTGCTAGTCACCTTAATTGATTTGATTCATCCTATATATATAATTGTCTTGACCTGGATTATTAATGTATAAATAATATATTGGTCTTTTTTCTTTCAGAAAAAGAATTTTCTTAGAAAAAAAAAAAAATGGTCGAGTCAATTACTCAACATAGTACTAGAACTAGATATCTAGAGTTGGATTGGACTGCTACTTAATTTCTGTTGATTAAATTTCAATGCAAGATTTATGATTCTATACTTAGTCCATGCTTTTGAGCTAATAAATTTAAACATGAGAGAGTGTGTTAATATATAAATAATAAATTCAATCATCGTTATCAACTTAAACTTCTGAAAAAAAAATTAATAGCAATATATTACTTAACACGATGATCAAAACTGCATGATCGAGTGAGTATATTTACACTTTTTTGCAACTTGTGTGCTTGGATTTATTTCTGTCCAACGGATGAATAGCGTACAGTTTTATGCCAAACAATGATGTGCACGAGGTGCTCCAGTATTTCACAGTTGAGGAAATATTCTTATTTATAAGGAGAAGTCACCCTCTCTTTCAAGCAAAGCGTCTTTTATAGGGAAAAAAAGGGAAAAAAAAATATCGACGATATAATTGCTCACTTAGTTCAGCGAAACTCTGGTCACATCATAAGAGCTGTCTGTGAAAAGTTGGTTATTAACAATCTACCCATATACCCGTACTTTCGGGGACTATAATGGCTAAATGGAATTCCTCAATCGGGTTTGTTGATGTACAAAAGGTTCTCTTGTATCTAGATCAGTTAGATCTTCAAAAAAAAAAAAAATCCTACGTCAGTTAGATCTTTGAAAAAGATTTCGATGAGATAGTACATCACTTCAGCTCAACAAAATTCTAGCTACATCACTAAACATGAACGTCAACACTTATTTTAGAATGTAAGACTTTGACACATTATTTTTAATTAATTACTTATTCAATGTTAAATATTCTAAGATAATTGTTTCAACGGGGAGAAGAGGAATATGTTGCAACGCATAATTCTACTCAAAGAGATGCTTGGTGAATTATACTGTTTGATAAAGTTGTTGCTAGTGTAGAAGACACTTTGATTGCATTATTTTCCAAAGCATTCATGAGAATCAGAAGTATAAATACTTTCAGATAGGGCCCCTTAGATGGAGAGCTTTTCCAGAATTTGTGCTTACATCATATCTGCCTCCAGAAACAATCTTGTGTTTTAGTTTGTTTGCTTGTTCAAAAGTATATATATATATATATAAAAGGACCAGTTTGTTTGTAGCGGATGATGTGATAGCCTATAAACATGGAGAGAGATCAGCACAGGCCTTGAGTTCAATGGGATTCCGGAATCTTATCTTCAGAACCTACCACGGGTAATTAACTCCCTCTCTCCTCTATTCAGTCAGTTCCTCTTTAGCAGTATCATAAGTGATCAGCCATATTTTCTGGTGACTTGTTAATGGTTACAATCATCGAACTAGATTAGTTTCTCACCTCTTGAATAACCCTTATGAATGAATCTTCAAATCTAATGCTGCATTTGGTTCTTTTCTTAGTCAGATATTCTTATAAAGTATAAGTTACTGAAACTTCAGTATGAAATCATCTTATATTTGTTGTAAATAACAAATATTTACTGTGCAGAGTGGGTCATTACACAGTTCCAGAAGAGACAGATGAAGTCTGTACTTGGCTAACAGCAAGGTTAGGGCTTGAAGGGTCAAGGCGTTGATGTGAAGAAGGATGGAGAGATTGAGAAGAATAGTAGAGGAAGAATTATACTAGACTTGTAAAATTAGATGCTTTTGATGTGGGGAATGTACGGTATAGCTGCCATGATTCTTAGTTTCTTCCATCATGCTAATTCTATCTTTTACTAAATAAAAAATTTTTGTGCCATGATCTACTGTTCTTGAGTTTTATTTATTTATTTATTTATTTCAGTTGTCTTTGGCAGAATTATTTTACTTAAAATATTTGATTTAAAATTTTAATAATAAAATTAATAGTTAATATAGCACTAACCCAATATTGGTTTAGATTCAAATTACTACTGGCCTTTAAAAGTTCAATTTAAAATTTAAAATGTGACTTGAATTTTTACATAATATGAAATTGGAGTGTCGTAATTAGTGTACTACTAAAATTCTTAATTTATGAAATGAAACTAGGAATATAGGAAAAATGTTTTTTTTTTTTTAATTTGATTGATTTATTGAATTGAGATAAAATAGATTTATATTTTTTACTTAACTAAATGACAAAAAGATTAGTTACTATAATGTAAAGAGTAATTAATTTAACGACGAATTAAATATGAAAATATAATTTGATCTTATTGAGCTTAAAAAATTAAATTAAATTAGAATAGTTAAGAACAAAAGGGCTATAAAGAAATTCAGAATTGAAACCCATAAAGAATTAAATTTTCAATGAATTTTAGTGGGTTAAGTTGATGTTAAAAATTTAGACTTCATAAAAATCATATTTTTATTACTTTTTGCATAATTTCTATGGGGTAATAATAGTATATTACAAAATGACTTTTTACATAAAAAATTAGAATTCTGATAATAAATTAAGTGATAAATTATAATTTCACAACCTCTTACTACATTGAGAGTACACAATAATTAAATTTGTAATAATATATTAAAGCAAACACCCAAAGTAACTCTTATTTATTTATTAATAAGAAAAAATTCAGTAACATCACCTATTTGAAGCTTATTAGTCTAACAAATAACAATTGAAAATTACAAATAGACAAAAATATAAACAATAGCTAAGAACAATATGTGGCTTGAAAACAAAATATGGTTATTAAAAAAAAAGAGTACGAAATGATCAGAAAAATATCATACAATATAATAACCCACATGTGACAAAATAGTAACCATAGTAAAATTAAGAAAATAAACTACTCACAATAGAAAAAGAAGTATAGCGGCCAGGTTTTCAAGGCAAATTTCTAACTTCATGAGTGATATAGCATTTTATGTATCCTTTGAGTAGTTTACTCACCTAACTACACAGTATTCCGAAATGAAAATTTTTATTTGGGCGGAACTGGATATTGCGAGCACAGATATCGCTTAACCTTCTCTCCAGCCAGGAGGAACTAAACATAATTGAATAGCAATAGAAACATCAGAAAACCAACAACAAAGAACTGGCTGATCATTAAAGCATAAAAGGACCATAGAGGGACTAAAGCTGACGCTACAGGAGCAAATATCATCTTAACCCCTCTTTTCTGAGCTATGGAAATGTGGATATATTAAATCTGTTCCCCAAGCATTCTAATGTCAAGTCTTACAAGAGATCCTATAATTGGACTCACATGCAGTTTGAACACAAGATCTTCAGCAGCACCATTGATCATGGATGCCAAGAAATGACTGCAACAACACTGCATAGATTATGAAAGAAGAATACATGGTCAAGCCAGTACACGTTCACCATGGTACAATTGTCTACCAGAAAAGAATAGTAGAAGTTTTCTTTTTTTTTTTAAATAAAAAGTGTAAAGAATGAAAAGAATAGTAGAATGACGCAGCTTAATGCTATGTTTTGAATAAATCTAGAATTCTTGTGGTGTTTATTTGGAAATATACATCTACTTTAACAAGTTTGTGGTGAGAACTTCATGTAAAATAATAAAGATTAAACTGATATACAATTTCAAGCAGAACAGAAGTCATACATTCTAAATCCTATCAAATTTATGGAATTTAATATGTATTGTTACCATTCTATTTAAAATTCCTTAAGAGTAGAATTTTTTTCCATATTAGAACAAAAATCCATCCTTCTACTTAAATTAAGTTTTATATTTCTAAATGAAACCAATAAAAATTCTCAATTGGTTTCAAATGTAGTCTAAAATCCATGTTTCGAATGAGAAAGGTGCAGAGCACTTGCCTCATGGAGAAGGTTGTGTGCAAATCATTCTTTCTGGCTCTTTTGTGGAGAGCCAACTGCGGTCTGATTGGAGATGCTTCTTGATTCAACACAAGGGGTGAGAGGAGGGAAAGAAGGCACAGATCTTAATATGAATTTGCGACCACTTTTCAGGAATCCCGATGAACTTGAACCAAGCTCGTGCAGACGACCATGAGGAGGTGAAACTCGTTTCTGGTTAGGAGAGCTTACTTTCACAGACTTAGTCGGTGTGGAAGTATCTTCCAGTATCTCAGGTGTATCATCCAAAATGCCATAGAGCCCATCCTCAGAATCAGGACCTTGGGGACCTTTGCTTCCACCTAACTGAGTCATTGGGGTGATTGGTGAACTACGCCAACGAAGGGAACCGGCTGATGAGACATGGCCGCTTCCAGAACACAACTGGAGTCGAAAAGAACCTGTCCTTTCCCTTGTTTTAGAAGAAGACAAAGATCCAACAGCCATTAATCGAGGATTCGATGGAGAAATTTGGCATAC